AGATGTTTCTTTCAGGGTATTGGAGAAAAAACAACATAATCTGAGGAAGAAGGGAAGTTAATATTTTAGTCCCTTTGCATTTTTTTTTTTTTTTTGAGACAGGATCGCACTATGTAGTTCATGTAGTTCAGGCTGGCCTTGCACTCACTATGTAGCCCAGGCCAGCCTCGAAACTCACAGTGATCCTCCTGCCTCCACCTCCCAAGTACTAGGATTACAGGTGAGGGCTACCACGCCCACCGACTGGGTCTAGGGACTCTCCCTATTCTCAGTAGCTCAGCCCCTGGGCTGTGAGCTGTTCTGGTGCTGAAACATCAGCCGCAGTCAGGGAGGGTCTCTTCCTTCTCTTATTCTAGGACTTTCAGCAAAAGGATCTGACAAAGGGAGGGACATAGATTCCTGTGAAACCTTAAGAGAGGTCTATGAGGCTGGGGTATAGCTCAGTGGCTCAAGGGTACAGCACGTGCCTTGCCTGGGTTCCAACTCCAGCACTGATTTAAAAGGCAGGGAGGCAGGGTTTTTCTTGTTGGACCCTTACGTCTCTGCTGGCCCCAGCCCAGACCCCAAAGGCCTGTGTGTGAAGTCCTTTAATCAGGACACTGCCCTTTAAAAGGCTGTTTTCCTTGTGTGTGTGCGCGCGCACGCGTGCGTGTGTATGAATGAGAGAGTCCACTCTTCTGGTGTCCTAGTGTGGCAAAATGACACGCTAAATTATGTTTGAGGCCCTAAATTAAGGGTTTCATGAAATTAGATTCAACCCGTATTCACTTCTGTGCCCCTGTAGGTAGTTTCTGGACCATACCTGGAGAGCTGAGATGGAATTCAGTCTACAGGTCACTGTGAAACGGTAGCAGGGGTCTAGAACATGCTAGCATCTCAATAGCACCTTTTATTCCCTGGACAAAATTGAGTGTGTCCTGTGTGAAAGTGGCCTCTATGCGACAGTGGTTTTCAAATTTAAGGAAATTCAGCATCACCTCAAGGCCTTGTTAAAACCCAAACTTCTGAATCACAGATCCGGACCCAGTAGGTCTGGGTGGGCCTGGGAATTTGCATTTCTAACACATTCCTAGCCTAGGCTGCAGCAACCCGCCCCCCCCACACACATTTTGAGAACCTCTGGCGTCGGGCATGGCAGGGGCCAAGTCCCTGACTCCGTAAAGAAGCGCAATCTAGTGTGGTTATGCTAAAAACAACGGAGGTTTTCTCTCGTCTCGGCAGGCAGGTCAGTGAGGGAGACACACAAGAATCATAGAAACCCTTAGGCTGACGCCTGTGTCTGCCGTTCCCAGAGTGAAGCCCAGGCCTGGCAGTCAGACGCACGCGTCCCACCCCGCTCAGGCAGCCGCGGGAGAGGGGTGGGAAGTGTCCCTGGGGAGAGGGGTGGGAAGTGTCCCTGGGTGCGGGGACTGCGTGCTCTAGCGCGCTCGCTCCGGGACAGGCCTGACTCGGCTGGGTCGCCCCTCCCGCCCTCCGGGGCTGCGCTCTTCGCTCCTCGCCTCGGGGCGGTGCCAGCGCGCGGGGCGGGTCCACGCGACCCCCCCCCCCCCCCCCCCCCCGCCGCCACGCTTGCGCCGCCCCCGCCCCGTCGTAGCCTCGGTCGCAGTCGCCACCCCGCAGGCCGGGCCTTACGGCTCGGGACCCGGTGGTGCCGCAGTCTCCTCCCCGCCATGGCCCAGCCGGGCGAGGAGGAGGCCGTGCCCGGGCCCGAGGCCACCGTGCAGATCCGCGTCGCCATCCAGGAGGCCGAGGACGCGGAGGAGTTGGAGGATGAGGAGGGTGGGGGAGAGACGCGGGGCGCAGGGAACCCGGCCCGGTTCCTCAGCCCCGGCTGGGGCAGCGCCAGCGAGGAGGAGCTGAGCCGCGGGTACTGGTAGGCGTGGGCCTGGGAGGGGGTGGGGTGGGGCGGGGGGGGCGGTGACAATTCACGACGACTCCACGGGCAGGGGCATCCAGTGCATCCCGGCCCCAGGGAGCAGCCCAGGCTGTCCCAGAGTCGGGGTGGCAGTCAGTGTCCCAGCCCGAGGCTTGGGGGCCGGACAAGGAGCCGGGGCGGGTGGCAGCGGGGACCTGAGGGGCCTGAATTTGGGGGTGCCTGGGATTCAGGAGGAAGAACTGCATGGGGCATCCTCGACAGCCACACTCTCTTCTGGAGGAGACGCCTCCTCCTTTAGGTAACCCAAATATCCCCCCAGAGCTCATCCCAGCCCCGCCTGAGACTGGGCCATCTACTTATGCAGAAGGGTCCCCATGGAGCCCTCCGTGCCATAATCGCCCTGTCTGCTTATGGGTCTAGATGGCTTCGCTGTCATTCTGGGTAGGAGCAGGCCAGGCCCAGCTGACCCTTGCTGATCTGGGCTTCCCGGAGGTGTGATTTCATGTGAAGCGCTCTCTTGGCCTGGTTTGAGATGAGTGGAGGGCTGGCTGCTTTACCCACCCCTTCGGAAATTCCTAGCTTCACATACTCTTCCTGGAGGTGCCTGCATCTTTATTTGCTGCCTGACGTGGGTGCCTGGTTGATGGGTGGCCTGGAGCTGCTATGGCACCTGCCATACTTGCCTCTGGGTCCTGAATTTGTCCTCAGCCAGACACCTTAGGCTGTGTCCCAAATGCCCAGGCCCTTCAGGACTGTGGTTTTGTTCCTGCTATAAAGAAGCCAATGGTATGCAGTATCCATTCAAGGGGAGTAGGGCAATGCAGAACTTGCAAATTCTAGGGAATGCCAAGGTGCATTTAGTAAGAGCCCTCTACTCCTGAGACTTCTGTGCACCAGATTTCAGCTGTTAAGGCCCTGAAGGATTGTCCCCTGACAGGCAGGTATCTACTTCATCACGAGAGTATGGAATTCTGGGTTATGAGGATACTAGGGCCAGAGTCAAGCCTTTTAACTGAATCTCAGTAAAAGGGTCTGGATTTAGGAGCCCAGAGATTCAGGGCAGACCACAGAGGCAGCTAATGGAGAAGTCTGTCCCCACAGCTCAGGCAAGTAAGGGTGTGATGCTGTGGATCTCTCAGCACCACATACCCTGAAAAGCCTGATTCACGCGGCTCTGTGCTCAGTATGGACAGGATAAAAAGGACGAGCCTGTTGTCACTGACCTAGGCTTGAGAAGGTGTCCACAGAGTCAAGTAACTTCAGACATCATGTAGATTGGCGTGGTTTATCCTTCTGACTTTACTTGCCTGTGGCCGTGGCAAAAAGCTCTTTCTTGGGGATTAAATTAGCTGTGATGAAACCTCGTATTGACGTTGGAAAGATGCTCTGTGGAGATCTAGGAGAAACCTTTGGGCCTCTTGCCTCGCCCCTTGGACCCGCCTCTCTTCTGTCCCAGACTCAGCGGCTTGAGGCTCCCAGAGCACTGAATCTGAAGTGCACCCTGGTGCCCACTGGCATGGAGTTGACCCCAGAGTCTCCCTGGGGCTCTCCAAGGTAGAGCAGGTGCAGAGCCCAGCAGGCAGGCATACAGGACATGAGGGGATGCGGCCAAGAACGGGATAAACGCTGCTCCTTTTGGGCCCAGCAAAGGGGCAGCAGCCACCAGCCTGTGTGAATGTTGCCGGCTCCCCACGCCTACAGGAGAAAGCCCAGATTCCTAAGTTAGCTTGTTAACAAGTCGCACCCACCTACACCATCTTGAGCCTATGGGCTCCTTCCTGCCCATCTTATCTCAGGCTCCTGAAGTCCCATCCCCACTTACTTCCCTGAGCCCTGGGCTGTCTGGGGTCTACTTGCCTCACTCTTCCACCTCTCTACCCCTGACTGATTGATTGAGTTCTGAGAAGTCAGCTCTTAGACTTCGCTGAGGCTTCCCACCACCTTCTGCCCCCTTGCTGAACGACACTTGTTTCCTCTCCTCTATGTCGCTGTTGCAATTTATGTCCTAGACTAGCACTTATCGTGACTGCAATTCCATAGCTCTGTCTACCTCTCAGGAACAGGAGCATTATGGATTCAGGGACCGTTGGCCTTGTTTTCATTGTGTCTTCAGCACCCAGCGTGGTAGGTGCCCTGTGAACATCCACTGAGTGGCTGCATATCTCTCATCACACTTGTTTCCTCATGGTGAAACCATATGGCCTCCTCCACTGGAAAGTAAGAGCCTGCAGGCACTGCACTGTTGTCATCCTGTCCCTGTCTGTAGTACCTCAACCAATACCTGGCTTACTCTAGGGCAACAAGGAATACATGAACACTAAGGAAAAATCTTTATCACTTCTAAATGTTCATCCGTCTTCTCCCCACATTGCACTCATTTAAAAAGCCTTTCCTTTTATTCTTACCTTTTTAACATAAAAGAAAGTGTGAAAACTCAGGACTGTGAGCATTCCTACTCTCCCCATCCAGATGTATCACTTATTATTTTGCCATATTGGTTTGATGATATATAATGTGTAGGGTTTCCCCAGAGCCATTTGAAAATATGTTTATACAAGACTTGCACCCCAAATACTTCATCTTGTAATTCTTAATAATGACATTCCCAGCTGGGTGTGGTGGCACATGCCTGTAATTCCAGCACTCTGGAGGCTGAGCCAAGGAGGATCACCATGAATCCAAAGCCAGCCTGGGCTACATAGTGATTTCAAGGCCAGCCTGAACTGTGTAGCGGAAACCTGTCTTAAAAAATTTAAAAAAAAAAAAAAAGGGCTGGGGATTTAGCTCAGTGGTTCCGGCACCTGCCTCGAAAGCACAAGGTCCTGAGTTCAATCCCCAGTACCACAAAAAAGAAAAAAAGAAAAGAAAGACATTCCCTATAACCATGACACTATTATTTCAGCTAAAAATTTTAACAGTATTTCCCCAATATAATCCCTAGGACAGTAAGATGACCTAATGGTCCATTTCCATGTTCCAGTTTCTCCCTGTTGTCTTTCACAGTGGTTTCTTTTTACTGTCAAGCCAGAACTCCGTTAATCTAGGTTGAGACATTTGCCTGTCTCTCTAGACACTTTTAGTCTAGATCAGTGGTGGCAAATGTATGGCACGCATGCTGCAGCAGGCTGTTGATGTCACTGAAAGCTCTAAAAGCTCTAGACCATTCCCACTTCTTCTTCTTTTTTTTCCCCCCTATTTTGGACATATGAAGCCCGATGTCTTATTGAATGTTCACTTTTTGGACTGGTCTGATAATGTTCTTATGGTTTCACTGAACTTGTTCCTCTGTACCATGTGCTTCCTGTAAAGTGAAAGTCACAGCTGAGAACTTGATTCAATTCAGATTGAACGTTGTAGCAAGAGCACTTTCATAGGCCACGCCTTGAACTTTATGTTGTATCACGTGTTGCACCATGGGAGACAACCTGCCATTAGTGATGCTAATTTTGACTACTTGGTAAAGGAGATTTCTCCATCCTACAGGGATATCTTTCCTTTTGCAGCAAACAAGTTATTTGTGGAGTTCTTGCCTTTCATTCTGTCAATGTGGTGCATCATATTTATTGATCTACATATGTAGATACATATCAACTATCCTTGCATCTAGGAATAAATTTCACTTGATCATGGTGATTGAATATTAATCTATCTCTATCTGTCTGTCTGTCTGTCTATCTATCTAGCCCCACTGTGTTGCCCAGGCTAACTCCAAACTCCTGGGTTCGAGTGATCTTCCTGCCTCTGCCTCCCTGGTACCTGGGACTATTGGTACATTGGTACATGCCATCATGCCTAGCTTATGATCTTTTTAGTATGCTGTTGAATCCAGCTTGCTAATATTTTGCCAAGGAGTTTTGCATCCATGCACATCAAGAACATTGGTCTGTAACTTTTTTTTCTGCTAGTGCCCTTGTCTGGTTTTAATACTAAGGTGATATTGGCTTCACAGAGTGAATTTGGAAGTATTCCTTCCTCTTCAATTTTTTGGAAGAATTTGAGGATTAGTATTTATTGTTCTTTAAATGTTTAGTAGAATTCAGCAGTGAAGCAGTTAGGCCCTGGACTTTTCTTTGATGGAAGATTTTTCATTCCTAATTCAATCTTCCTATTTACTATTAGCCTGTTTAGATTTTCTGTTTCTTCACAATTCCGTCTTGGTAGGTTGTATGTTTCTAGGCGATGTTTCCATTCTTCTAGGACAGCAATGGTGAACGTTTTAGAGCTTTCAGTGATACAAACGGCCCATTGCAGCATGTGTGCTGTAGGTTCACCACCACTGTTCCAGAGTATCTGGTCTTCTTTCACCAGTGACCTTTGACCTCATGGCTTTGGCATCCTTTGATGTCCTTACCAGAGTCAGTCTCTTCGCTGAGGACTGCAAGTTGGCAATTTTCTAATTTTCTCATTCTCTGTACATTTATTGGCTAGCATTCTACTATAAAAGAGAGCTTTGCCTTACCATCTAGACGAATGAAGAGTTTCTTCTAAAGAGGCAAGAAGAAATCATTACTTCCATTTAATTACCAATTTTCAAAGACAGCAGCTGGTGTAAGAGTCACACCAAATGCCCCAGTGGTCGAATTCAATTTCTTCCAAATTCATGTTCAAACATCGAAAAGTTTGAGAACTGAATGTATTTTTCCCATAAGACATAATGGAAAAACCAAATAATTGGTTCTGAGGCCCAAAAGTTAAACTTATAAATTCATGTTTCCAGGACTTTAACAAATTACATAATGATTTCTTTCTTTAAGTCTATTGTGGTTCTCACAAGTTTCCTCTTAGCTTTACTCCTGATATCACTAGCTTTCTTAGGAGCCATAGTTGCGATATTTTACACAAATAAAGTGGAAAAAAAGAGAGAAAAGCACAGTGATGAATATTTTAATGCACCATCACAAGCACTATATGTTTTCTGGGCAAGAGCTAGTGTCACCCTAGTGTCTGGGGTGAGACTCACTTTCTGCTATATAGGTTTTTTCAAGTCCGATTTTTGG